GAACCTCCACGGAGCAGCAAGAGGTTTCAGGGGGCAGGAAGGGAGCTGCTGTAAAGCCAAACCAGCGCTCCTGCCAGACTCGACCAGCGTTTCTTATTTCTCAGTCGATCGTTTAATCTATTTTAATGATTATCAGTACTGATGTTGAGTGTAATCACCTTGTCTGATACGATTGCTAGAATCTAAAAGTCAACTTGATTTTAACGGTTTATCATTAGGAGTATTATTTAGTGGGATTAAACTGGTCTTAATTCCTCCGCAGTCATCATTTAGAAGCTGTTGGGAGCACATTACGGTGACCCCCCTCATCACAATATGAATCAATGCCCTGTCTCCATACCATATATTTTCAGCAGCATCTAGCAAGCAGCCACACGGATGGACACCCAAGTCCTACGAGCTATTAACATTCATGAACCATCCCAACCACCATTAAAAGTTCCTTAAAATGCACCAGAGCAGCCGTTGGCTTTACCTCTCCTGGAGGTGGTGAGGCCCATTAACCCCTGAGGGTCTGGCTGGGAAAAGCTCACGAACGGGGATTTGGAGGAGGAGAAGCTGGAGCAGCCCTGGCTGCAGTGCTGAGGAGCTTTTAGGGGCCGGATGCGGCCCCGTTGGAGGAAGAGCTGTGCTGCAAAGGCAGCTCCGGGCACATCCCCAGGGCTGACGTCCCCCACGTGCAGAGCGTTCATTGCCCAACCCTCTCTGCCGCTGGGAAATCAGCGGGGAGGATCTGTGCTGCTGGGGGGAAATTGTGCTGCTCGCTTTGGGAAGCCGCCCCAGCGTGCCCGGACCCCCGGCTCGGCGTCGTGCCACCCGCTCACTGCAGCCATCAACCCAAAGCGTTTTCCACGCCTTTTCCTCATTATCCATTAAGTCATCGTCCTGTTCTTACCCGAGTGCTAACAAATGCCATTCGAAGGGACCCAAGCCCTGGATGTGGGTAACGGTTTCTCAGGGTTCACTCAGTCAAGAGCTTTGATTAACTTAACCCGCCGCTTCTTACACACAGTGCCGCATGGGTGTTTAGCTCTTAACCTAAACATCTGTAAACTAAAAACATCACGGATGCGTTAAGTCGCGCAAAGAGGCAGCAACAAGGCACAGGGCACAGCTGCCATTTTTCTCCAGCACAAGCGTTGCTCTGCTAGAAAAATGCTATTTCATACCTGTAAGAACCGCTGCTGTAACAAACCACGATTTTCTCTTGCATCTCTGAGGTGACAGAGGAATCAACAAGCAAATCGTGACGGAGTAACTACAACAAGGCGGCCGTTGCTCCCTCTTGGATATTCTTGCCTGAGATTTTAGCTAAATTCCAGCTAAAGCGGCGACCTTGCGCAGGTTGAGTCACAGCCCTGATGGCGGAGAGACGTGTCGTCGGCTTCTGCTCTCTGAACCTGGAAAGCAGCTTCTTTTTCTTGCTGTACTTTTGGCACAGCTGTAAACAACCCCCCTCTCAGCGGTATTGTACTAAAAAGCTTGTGGGAGCGTCTTTTGTCGCTTCCGCAAGATGCTGCAGACCTTAGAAGCCAGTTAGTAGGAAACAGAGGGAATGAGATGCTGGAGCAGCCAACAGTGCTCCATGCTTCTTAGTAAATGAACCAACTTTCTTTCCTTTAGACTAACAACACGTTTTGTCAGTGAGAATGCAAGCATAAATTTAGAATAAAAAAAAAAAAAATTCCAAGAGATGGTCAGAAGTGGCAAATTAAGTACCTATTTTTCTTACTGAAACAAGTGACCAAAACCGATGTGTAACAGCCAGGAGTCCATTCCTGGGAGAATCTTCCTTGGATAATGGAGAACTATGTTAGCTAAATTATGTGATTAATTTGTTTAAAAATAAAGCCCTGAAGATATCTTAGATGTTTCCTTTAGTTAATGAAATTTCCATAATAGTTAAAAAAAATTAGAAAACAATGGCGTTAATCTTGGATTACATGCAGCACGAGGGAAGAATTAGCAGCATAAAGCGAGAAGATTAAGACACTTTGCTTTCCAGCAAAGTAGCTGGGAGAGCAGCTACGTGCCGTATTTTCCCAAGATTAACAAAGAGGTGACCAGGATCTGCCCTTTAGTCTCTCACCTGGTGGGCCTGAGCACGGCTCTACCTTCTGCTTCCGACCGGGCAGCGTCTGGTCCTGAGAAAATAATCACGGGCTGAGCAAAGGGGTGGCCAAGATCTTCCATTCTAACAGGCGATGGGAAACAGCTGGATGTATTTGAGCAGCACTTGCAATCAAATAGTTAATTGGATATAATGTTTTTTCGAGTATAAGTATTCACTTAACCTGTATACTAAATATTACATATTCATGAACTATCAATAAATAACTATCATCGCTTCACATTTTAAAATATTTTCCATTAAAAGTCTCAAATTAAATCGCAGGAACTTTATATACCCCGTATTTGGCTGTTCCAACAAACGGCAGTATGAAACGGGGATAAGAAGCCGTCCCAAAATAGGATGACATGTAGCAAAAAAAAAAAAAGAAAAAAAAAAAAAGGGGAAATAATCTTTGAAGAAACGACCTAAGAGCAAATTCTAACCGCCTTAAGGAGTAACAAGTGGTGGTTTCAAGCGCCAGCGGGGCGAGAGTCTGGTAACGCCCCGGGCACAGCGCACAGACCCGCCAGTGCCGCAAACGGCCTTTGAATTTCTGGGGGGGGGGAAGGCTGACCCACTTCTCGCCCCCCTCCGCTCGCCTCGGCAACGTTTGGCCAGCGCTCAGCTTCCCCCAACACGATGGAACAGAGCCCCCCCGCGGGGGGGGTAGGTTTTTTTTGGGGGGGGGGCAGGCCTGTACCCCCCCCCAGGGCGAGGGGAACGGCGGGATGGATTCATCCCGTTAGGCCCCCAGCACCCAACCCGCCACCTCGCCGGCGGGACCCAGCTCCCCTCTAGCAAGAAAGGGGACGCAGTGGCTCGTGCGGGTCACAGAGGCTGGAATTAAATATTCAGGGGTGAGGGTGCCCCCCACCCCACCAGAGCCACCCAACCCCCCTTCACGGGGCTTTCTCAGCCCTGCGCGAGGCTCCACAGAAGCTCAGAGGTGCACACGCTTCAGCTGTAGGGCACGCTTCTGGCAGCAATTTAGATATGGTCAGTGGCACTCATTATTTTAGTATTTTAAAATAAGTTTATTATTTGTTTTTATTTATTATTCTTTTTATTATTTAAAAGCAACTTTATTGGTTTTATTTATTATTCATTATTTTAAAACAAGTTTACTATTTATTATTTTTATTATTTAAAACCAAGTTTATTCTTTGTTTTTATTTTTTTTAATTATTTAAACCCAAGTTTATTATTTGTTTTTATTTATTATTCTTTTTATTATTTAAAACCAAGTTTATTCTTTGTTTTTATTTTTTTTATTATTTAAAACCAAGTTTATTATTTGTTTTTATTTTTCTTTTTATTATTTAAAACCAAGTTTATTGTTTTTATTTATTATTCTTTTTGTTATTTAAAACCAAGTTTATTATTTGTTTTTATTTTTTTTTATTATTTAAAACCAAGTCTATTATTTGTTTTTATTTCTTTTTTTTTTATTATTTAAAACCAGAATTTTAATCCTGTCCCTGTAAGCTACCTGAAATCAAAGGGATAACCCCACAAACGTATAAAACGCTCACACTGACCTTTTTAAAAAAGCAGCCCTCTTTTTCCACAAACTTCTTTATCGAAGACTTAACCATTATACATACACTCAGTACTAACAAGAAGGTTACTGAGATAACTTTATTAAAGTTTTCTTCAAACACAACCCAGCACTGAAAAAAATCTGCAATTGCAAGGTACAGTCTCCTTCGCATCCAATTCTTTTTTCTCTGCGGTACTTATCTAAACCAGAAGCTTGCAAAGAAAATGCGTGTTGTACAGAAATATAATCTGGGGTATCCGATGACATATGGCAATTACAGTCCTTGGAACACACAGGTATGGACGTATAAATGCTTTAACTCTTAAAAATAAAATGCAGAGTGATACTCTGGCACCAGGCTCCCACCAACGTACACCAGGATTCTGCTTTCGCATCAATGACGGATCCTCTGCACCAAAGTCACTTAATTACAGGATGTTTTCAATTCTGAAGCACACCGAATGGAGTATGAAGAAAAAAAAAAAAAAGGCCAAATCTTATCATTCCGTGCAGCCGGACTGAACAGTCTGTAACTGCAGGCCACGCTCAAGGCACGGGGACCACCTCCCCCGCTGACGTTAGCCCAGCCACGCCACCGCGAGCTAGGGGCAGGTGGTCACCTGGAAATAAAGAGTCCCCCCGCGACGTGCACTGTCTCGTGATGTCAAATGGATATTTCTACAGCACCTAGTGCTGTGGCTCCGTATCGCACTTTGGGGAGAAACAGTTCAAATCGGTGGCAGGGCCGGGTATCTGCCCTGAAACGGCACGGGAAATATTAAACAGCTCATTGTTGGCATGTCATTTGCCACGAAGTGATGAGAAATTAATGACAAATAATAAAAATAAAAAAAAAAACACAAACAGGCAATAAAGGCGGTCGCCAGGCACCTGCGATCTTAGCTGCTGGACAAAGCCATCCCAGAGGAAAATCCGGGGCGAGCGGGAGCGGGGCCGGCGGCACTAGGCAGGCTCCCCCGGCCCCAGCAAGGGTTCCACCTCCAGCGCCCCCGCCCCGCGGCACCGCTCCCGGGGCTGGCGGTACAGGAGGAACTGCACGCTCACCTGGCCTCTCGGGGTAAGGAGGTAATTAACCGCGGTCCTTGCTTTCAATTAGAACCAAAAGAAGCCGTGCAGAACGCAAGCAGCCAGCCGTTTCAGTCCTGGCGCTGACTCTGAATGCCGCAGTCCGCAGAGGAAAGCTTAAAACTCGCTGAATCTAATTCGTGTACTGTAATGGAAGTATGCTCCATTTATTTAATCCCGACTGTGGAATTCTCTACATTAGCATATAACCTTTTCCAAATCCTACTTAACGTTCATTTTCAGTAACTTCTTTCCGGCAAAAAAGTTTAATCGTATTTTACTTCCACCACTAGAAAAGGGAACATACAGAAAAATTCAAACTCACAACTTCAGATCCCCTTAGTTACACGGCTCAACCACACACGAAATATCCTTTACTACCTCATCTGGGTGCTTGCAAGTGTGAAACTGCTGAGTAGCAGCGCAGGAGCAACGGGGAATCCAACGTATTGTCCCATGCTGCTCCAGCCTCGGGGGTCTAAATACTGCAGGCTGGGCTGTGGGGGGGGGGGGGATGCTGGCAAGGAGGGGGAGTTATTCGAAACTTCTCTGATCCAAAACCAACCAAACAAAAAATCCTAATCCAAAAGCAAAATTCTCATTTCCTGCAAGATTCTAGGCGGTGGGACATTGACAGGCCCTGCCACGCAGACAACACTGTGAGTCAGTATTTAACACTGTTTTCAACATAGAATTGTGCAACTAGACATAATTATTTATTTCTACTGTAAAAATAGACCATTGGAAATACTGCTAATGTAAAAAGAATTAACAAATACGTACTTGTCCTTTTTCTCGATGGTTCCAGCTCTCAAGCGGAATTATTGACTTGGAGCATAGATAGTCATTAAATAAAAAAAAAAAAAAAAAAAAACAAAAAACAAACAGGGGTGTGCATCTCGAGCTGATAGGAGAGGTTTCTTACTCTTCAGAATTTTTGCTAGTTGGGGAGTTTTAGATTCGAGTACTGAACTTGATCCAAACCACTTTGTTCTCTGCTAGAGCTACCATTTTAAGACGTAGATATTGTACCAACCTCTCCAGCTACACCCTTCCCTTCCATATTCTCTTCTATTCTATTCTACCAAATATCTCCTACTCACAGCAGATGAGACAGAAGCCACGTGCGATGCAAAGCAGCAGGTACCAGAAGCTGGCTTCACAAAGACAAGCCACCGCCGGCCAGCAAAGCCGCAATCCCCTCTGCACGGCTTTAGGCTCCTACTTTTTTTCCCCCTGCTCACTTGAGGCACTTTTTTTTTTTTTTTTTTACTTTTCCTAAAAGATGGAGTGATTTCAGCAGCGGGCTGTGCTAAACCCGGCACTGCTTGCTATCCGGCTTTGATGAAGGCAGTTTTAAGGAGGACATTAGCTGGGTGGAAGCAGGTGTCGTAGATGAGGTCAAGCAGGGAACCTCCGACACGAGGATCTGCATGCAAGCGGGTTTAAAGGTACGTGGTGTGGAAAGAAGTGGCCAGCTGCAGAGCCAGGTACCTTGCACAAAATCCAACGTATGCTCAGGGCGGGTGAGGTTTCAATAAAGCCTGGCTCACCACTACCGTTAGATGTAATATCCCAGTTTAAAAATTAAATCGTTTCGCTGGGAGGAAATCTGACGTGTAGAATTCTACCAGAAACACTTTAGATCAGTTAAAATAACTTGGCTGGTAGACAAGGGTTGCGAGAAGTTTGATGCTAATGTATGTAATTATTTATACAAATAAGGAGGGGGAAAAAAGCAAAAAGCTTTCTGGGAGGCCTGGATGAACGGAGAGGAAATTCTCTACATCCCAGGCAGAGCCCCAAGAATTATCCCACCTTCCCAAAGCTTTCCAGCATCCCACCGCTGAGGCCCCCCAGCTAAAGACTAGACAGGATTTCCTTCAGAGACAGCAGGTCAGCACTCCTTTTTCAGTATTTCTACAGTATTATGTGGGGAATGCTTTCTTCTTAGACCTTAGCAAATTAGTTTTATAGCATATATACCTACCACTTAAATTTCCTGCCTTTTTCTTCTTTCATTTTTTATAGGCTTTGCTGCGCTTGCAGCTGAGCACCTCCCCGAGTCTTAATAGTTGCACTGGTGGAAAAAGACACTGGGAACTGGGAACCAAATTTGCTGAAATCACACTGTGGGCTTGGGGCGAGCCTGGGCTGCAGCACCGCACGTTATTGCTCGTAGCCACCAAGCTGGCAACAGCAAATGGAGCTTTGAAGGGGGAATAAATTATAAACACGAGTTACGTGAAGCTTATCAAACAGTATTTCCAGAATAAGTTTTGGTAGCATATGTACTCAGCTGCTCATGTTTTTTAAATAAATGCCAAACTGCCAAGACTACTTAATACAGAAACTAATTTGCTGCTCAAGTCTGATTTTCTGGAGGAAACTTTTAAGACCTAAGCGTGCAGACAGCCCGAATTGGAGGAGACAACCAAACTGACTTCTCAGAGTCAAGTTCGGGACAGCCACAGAGGGAGTGCATCAAATTTGTTTCATTACTTTAAACAACGTAACAACAATTCAAAAAACTAAACAGTTTTGAGACAAAAGCGAGTATTTGCACAGAGAAGTGGTATGTTTGGCTGGGAAATTCTCCCGGCTGAATTGTCAGGTCAGACTTATATTCTTCGCACAGTGTAATTAAATTACAAAGCGCGATGTTTTGTAGAAGTACATAATGGATTCCAAGTGGTTGCCCTGCAAATCACAAAAGGTGCAAGAGAAGAGTCTGTGTACAACAGCTTGGCTCTTGCTGAATAAACTTTGGCTATCTAGTAACAACCTGGCTCCACTTAATGAAAAGAAGTGCATGTGGAGGATCTGAACACAGCTCTCCGACAATAGGGTGATGTCAAATAAAAAAATAAAATAAAGGCAAAAATCTTGGTAAAGGGCTTTGTCTGAGCTAAACACAAAGCAGAGTTGTTTGGTTTTGGTGGGAGCAGGGGAAGAAGGAAGCAGGGTGAAAGAGGGTAGCAGACTTACAGAAAAGGATGAAGTTTTCTGGAAAAACTTGCACTAGATTCAGTCTCTTAGAAACTTAGCGATGGCTGCTGCTGCAAGTCTAAGGGCAGAACTGCTCATCGACTGACTAAAACACAGAGTATTACATCCTTGTGTACAAGTGAAACATTAAGTCATCATGCACAGAAAATAAAGCTCTAATAATGTTCACCGTGGAACCCTACCGTAGGCAAACCCGGACTAAGCACCCCTGGCTGCCCGGGCGCCCCACCAGGCCCATCTAAAGCCCTGGCTTTGTGGTTTCTTGAGAAACTCCAACCACCTTCCATGGCAAAGGTGCAGTTGGAAGGAAACATTTGCTGGAAAAGAAGATCGTGTCCAATTTATAACTCAAATGTGGAATGCTATGAAACTCCTCTTAAAATGAAAAAGAGGACAATTCATACTTTACAAACAACGGGGCACTTCCATTTACTGAAAATAACTGGCTGCTTATGCAAGCAAATAACTGTAACTGTGGACACCAAGGGAACAGGATGACTGTGTTATCCTCTTAAACTGGGCTGAAACAACTCCTCTGTAATCCCACACTAAATAACGCTGGAGCTGCTGTTACAGCCATGATCAGGAGTCCATTTGTTTCTAAAAATAGTGCCAGCCATGTCAGACGGAAGCAAAAGAATACTGCAGCAGACACAGAGTAAGTGAACTCCTAATCCTGGCTTGGACCTTGAGAAATGAGAGTTTGTTTTCCACCTAATGAAACTCTGGACACTATCAGGAATAAGGTCTACTAGAATTAGGCAATTCCTTCGACTGTTCCTCAAAACAGAGCCTGTCTGTTACACGAATGATCACTTATGAAACACCTCCCTCTTAGAAATGATGACCTTCTGGTTTCATTCCTCTGCTTTCCAAAACCCAGGTGATCCCGCTCTTTGTTTTCCGGTCTAACGTGATATATCAGTTTGCTAGATTTTTTTTTTTTATTCTCTTGCTTGGCAAGAGACAGTAATGAAGCTCTCTTTTTAAAAGCACTGACTTCCTTACCTTCAGGGCTTCTCAAAGCAGGAGGTCTGCTTTTGTTTTCTCTTGATTACAAATACTTCATAGATTTTCAACTAACACTATATACTTGACTAGATTCCTATAAGCTCCTCAACCTGATTTAGAAGCATCTGTTTTCAATATAATTTGAACTGGAGGACTATTAGCAAGATTGGATTCAGGCTCCAATCAAGACAGAACCCAGAAATGAAAGTCATGTGCACACTGGCACTGCAATCCTGGGGCAGGGCTCGCAGAGGGGGGCGGTTTGTGGCCAATATAAAAGTCCCTTTTCAGAGTACATCATAGAAAAGCATCTGCAAATACGCACATAACGCACTGTAAGGGTCATCAAGATCAAGTTCTAGGGTTTGTTGGGTAAATAAATACTGGCTGGTTTATGTTTCCAGCTGGGGGGGGGGGGCGGGTGGAAGAAAGAGTCACTGCTTCATTTGGGGCACGAAAGGCCCGAGCGCTCCAAGCAGCCACAGGGGCTGGCAGCCCCGAATCCCTACAGCCTGCTCGTGCAGAAGGAACGGCACTGTCTCGTACAAGATAAGGCTACAGTTCATTTCCAAAAGCAAAAAACCCAGACGGCTATTCTGAACGACAGCATAATTTAACAGCCCAGCCAAAGGCCAGGGTCGGCTGTCCCATCGCTCGTCTAATTGGAGGGGCTTATGAAATTACTTTAATCAGAAAGACAAGACTGATGCCTGGGAATCATAACTTCTGGAACTGTTCCAGGTAAAGCTGGTAAAGAACTTCCTTTTAATATGGAACGGATTAACACAATATGCTTCAGCATGGTCCTGAAATCACTCTTCATTTTATCCTGTTTGCTAGTTTGAGCTCATGGAGCGAAGTACCGAGATGTTTTCAGACACAAACCTAAAATTCTTACTTCAGGAGAAATCAGAAAATCTCCTCTTCCTACCCTTTTAAGTGAAAATACACGCTATAGTAACAAGACAGGTGACTATAAACCTCCAGTGAACAGAAAGACCAAGTACCACCACATTACTGTTCACTAGGCTTTTAAAGCAAAAACCCAAAACTACTCTAAACATTTTACTTTTAGTATCTTGATCGCAAAATGCTAATGTTCCATCTAGAAAGAGCACAACTAACAATAACTAATATATCGTGGGCATCTTATGTGTGTCCCCTGAACATAATAATAAAAAACTATAATGTTTTGCGTTTGCTCAGGACTTTCAAGAAACTGGCACACTGATCTCGGTAACTGTGTAGCTGGCTGGCCCTTAGCATGACTCCATGAGCATAGCGGCTGGTTTTCAGAGGCATTGGGTGTCTCAATGCATCTGATTTTGCCCCGAATTGTGCAGTTAAGGGTAGCTGCAGCATTTCTTTGTTACGTGCTATTTTCTGAAACTAAGTCTGCCAAAACCTCACTGTTTGTCTCTGATGTTAATGCAATCTTGCAGTAACGCTTACAATTTAACCAAATTCTCAAAGCTATAATTCTGTATTTGCATTTAAAACCAAGCAGGTTTGGGGTTGGCTTGTGTTTGGGGTTTTTTGATTTTTTACATTTATCAGATAGCAAACCTAAGAAAAAGAGCACAATGTGCAAACGCCTTCCCTGGCCAACTTTAAGTATACTACATGCTGGCTACAAGATATAAATTAGCCTGTGCAATGTAGCTTTCACATAGATATTTTCTATAAACTTGTTACTCTGACCAAGAAATCTGATTATAAAAACCATACGAATCATTGCTCAGAAAGATTTTATGATCAGGGTTAGAATCACGGAAAATCTTTTCATTAAAAAACCATCCACTTCATTTCTGATCTACTTATTGACAAGCCCACCCTGGGAAACTCTAGCTATAACAGGAAAAGGATACAAAAATGTCTAGAAACAAGACTCCAAAGCTCCCAATAAGCCACGGAAGATGGTGTAAAAAGTAGAGGGCCCAGAAGGATTTGGTAGCTGGCATCTTTAAAACAAGGCTCAGCCCGTATGTACAGTTTCCCATCATGGCCAGTGCAAACAGCAGGTAAGAGGTGCCTTCTGTTGATCTTCTTCGGAACTAAATACAAAGAAGTTTTTACAAATACAGAGAAATGTTAAAACATGTATGACCGTAGGAAGTTATAGTTAATTTTGGCATTTTGCACTAGAAAACATCCAGAGACTTTCAGTCATTCCTGTCCATCTCTTCCTGGGCTCTGAATCCTCCAAGCTTAGTACTTTCACCACCTATCACTGAAAACTACTGAACCTGTTCCAGTTCTTAGAAGCAGCTTCAGTTAACGTAATTTTGATGTAAGTGCAAAGAAGCAGGAATAATCTGCTTCCAAGTGATACTTAGTTCTTAAGAAATCCGTTGCCCTATCAATCTGTTTAGCAGATCTTTTTGAAAATATTGTTGTATTCCAGCTGTGAAGGAAAAGGTAGAGGGAATATGAATAGTCTTGGGAATGAACTAATCGTTTCTATAATCAATTAAAATGCCCGGATATAACTGACAATGTAAAACCTAGTCTTTTGTTGTGTTTGCTTTTGGTGTGGTTTTTTTGCTTGGTTTTGTTTGTTTGGTTGTTTTTTTAATATACCGATAGTGAAGAAGCTGTGAAAAAAAAAGAAAAGTCAGTAATGGCATCTTTGTGAAAAGGGAATAAAACTCTAAACTAATCTTCCTCTAATTCTAACTTTCGATCTCATGGTTCATTACTTACGGGAGAATATTTTAGGGAAAGAAAAGGGGAGGTATCACTTGCTCATGACAACAATCACACGAAGCATGTTTCTGCCCATATCTGATAAATCCAACTGTAAATACTTCACTTCCTCTTCCCCTGCCAATCAGTTCTCTTCCATCACTCAAAGACCATCATTTTCCTAAAATTCTCACCATCCTCCTCTGAATGGGGAAAAAAACCTTTTTTTTTTTCTCTACAGTTTTAGACAGTCACAAAAGCAAAATAGGCTTTCAAGTCCAAGAGGGCTCACTGTTAGGGAGAATCCAACATCTAAAGCAACAGAGAGTATTTTGTAAAATATACAAGTATACTTAGCCAAAAACCTACTTACATTTTTATACAGCTGAGGAAATCTACTTCCCAAGTAAAACACACAGGATATATAGCCACAAACGAAGCCTGACATTTCAATCATATCAAGAGAGTTCTGAAAAAGAAAGGTACGTATATTTTGGCAAGAATGTTTTCGGGCATTTTAGAGGATTAAACTGAGAGTCCACTGGCTGATTTTCTGGACAGAACTCCTTTCAAAGCAGTTTGGTGCTGCTCTTCAAATGACCAGAGAGGGCTAGAAAGGGTTTAATCTTTATCTCACAACAATGCACACTGCTGCATCATAGCCATGACTGAGATCAAAACTAGTGCTGGGCTTTAGGATACGACACTAATATCTATCCAGTCCTCCTGCTAAAAAAGCCTGGGCACAATAATTCAAACCAAAACTAAGAACTGTAGCTAGGGCCACTAAAAAAAAATGAATCATCCTGTCTGGAGAAAGCAAAATAGTCATTTTTCACAGTTTAAGAGTTGCTAGTTTTCTCACTCTAGCTGTGTTTTGAAAATAAGCTGCTTCCCTGCTGGGCAATGTTGCTGGATTACAATTATTTTACTGGCATTAGTATGAAGGCCAAATTGTTAAAATAGCCTGTGAGCTTTCCTGCTGAAATGACAGCAGCAGCAGGTACAATTGTAATTTTCCACTTTTATTGATTTCACTTGTGACTATGTAGTCTCTACGTGGATGCCTACAGTATTTAACACCAGCAGAAACACAACACATATACGTGTTATTTTGCCGAGCAGCACATCCTAGGGACCAAAGGGACAGAATAAACCCAAAACACAGGAAGCTGCTGAAAGAAGCAATTTTATAAAACTTCTTTATTTTGGGATGTATGGTCCATAGTTAAAACATCCACAGTGCCACACGTACAACTTCTAAATCATTGTTAAAAACATCATGCAGATTTCTTTAAAGCTCAGAGTACACAATCTTTTCAAGACACTTTTGGGAGGGATTATTTTGGAATGGAAGCAGGCAAGAACTTACATTACTTCTTTGGATTACTGTAGTCTGGTCTTGGTTTCTTAGTGACAGTTGACAGAGTAAAATAACACACAGCGCTATATACACTATGATCCAGGTTACACAGAAATTCTTCAGGCTTCTGCTGCCTAGAATGACATACAAACAAATTAGCTGAAAACCAACATCTGCCATTGATTTGAGGTTACTTTTTGTTTGCAATAAATATGCAAATTTAAAGGTAAAATTTCTGTTATCTTTTTCTTGGCGCCAATGCAAATCCACCTCTTCTGGGTTCTGTGCCCACCCCTGCTCACTCTCATAGCTGTGCTGTGTCTTTGTGCAACAGCTGAGGGTAGCAGTGCAGGAACAGAACTCCTTGAATGTGCATTGTTACTAAGAGAAAATTTTCATACTCAGCTTCTCTCTTATATTAGCTCCTAGTAGTTTACGGTTAAATAGGAGCTGATAAACAGAAAACTGCTAAGTAGAATAGAGTGTAACAGTTTCTTTCAACATACCTTGATTAAAAACTGCAAAAGCAAGGATATTTGAAATATAAATTAATGAAAGTATCTTTCAGATAAATATGTAATCTAAGTGCTGTGCTGAACCAGTCTCTGTGTCCACGGTCAGCTCGATACCGAGCCTTCCAGAGATCCACATATCCAAAGACACAGATCCCATGCAGCAAATCTCCACAGCCACCTACAAGAGAACCTGAAAATGGCAGACAATCCTACAGAACTCTGGAGCTACGTAAGGTGCTGGTAAAGTCCTGCAGCCACTGTTTCCAGTGGAACAAATTGCTGTACGGCATTAGAAAGCCTACCCTAGAGACCTGAGGTCTAAACAACACAGGCTGAGCAGTGCCGTCCCACAGGCTGCACTTTGGGATGCAAAACTGAGCAAGTTGTGTAGGGTAACTGCTCCAGAAGTGGGTACTGAAAAGCCCTTTCTTGTGGCTTTAATCACGGTGCCATTCCTCCCTCTCCAGCTATGCAAATCATTGAGCTGAAACAGGGACTGGCAGTTAAAATGTACAAAAGCCTGTGTTTGTTTTCAAGAGTAGGCAGCAGGAAGGAAATATCTTCAGCACTGACCTATCTCCAGGTTTATTATCAGTTCCATATTGAATGAATCTGCTTTATCCCTATTTAGTCTCCTGGGCAGGCATCTGTTTTACTTCAGCTTTTTGTTACCTCTGCTGTACCATGATTTTCTTTGATACTTTTTTTTTTTTTTGTAGATCGATGAGTTAATGTTTTTGATTTGATACAATGTGAACAGAGCTTTCTGTCTTCCATTTCAGTCAAAACAGTAGTCCATTCGTAGGCTGAATACTACAACCAGTGCCAGGATTTTATGAAGCACAACTCAAGTAATTTCATTCCCCTTGATTATGTTTTTTAACTATATGTATTGAAACAGAACACATGAAGATGTCAAGATATTTTATGTTATAAGCAAACAAAGCCAGTTCTCAATCAACATGCAGAAAACTGACCCACAGAAAGAAATAATGCTTGCTTTCAACTTACACATATATTTAGATAGATGTAAGTAGAGAGTAAAACCATGGAGTAACTTAAAATATGGAACCAGATTCCACAAAACTATTGCATTTTGAAAGTCTATATAATCTAAAATTACTACATGGAAAATATTTACAGACATTACGTGGGTAAAAAAAGAGAAAGGCAGGGAGGAAGAGAAGAGAAATGGCACGATTTTCACAAGACCCTGAGAAAACTGGCAGTAACAGGCCTAACAACTTCAACCAGAATTTGTGCACTCTGTTTTCTGATCCCTCTGAAAAAAAAATGGATTTAAATGCTGTAGACAATATTAAAGCAAAGAGTGTGCTACCTTATGGAGAACATTTAAATTGCTGAAAAACCTTACATTTTGTCATCTTCTGATTCTTGAGCTTATAGTAGACAAATTGTGAAATCATAATTATATCCATGTTAACATAAAAAATGGCGGTGACAATCTGAAAGAGAAGACACATTTGTTTGTTCAGTATACAAATAGTTCAAAATACCTTATTTTAACTGCATAGAAACTGCTTCATAATAATAATGTGAATGACAAATACCAAAGTACTGCCAAAAGAAAAAAAAAAAGAGGCAAGCTTTCCCGGTACCAAACAAGTTAGGCCACTGCAGATGAGTGCAGTGTAAACCTTACGCAACAGGGACTTGCTGACAGAACTGCAATAGTTGCTCATTTCCCAGGATGTGTAGCACAAACTCCTACCTGGCAAACTGATAAATCCTTCCTGCCCAGAAGCTTACGCCTGGCACACCTAGTTTCCCAGCACTTTGGAAGCTACGAATCTTTCCCAGTGCTTCTTGTCTCAATAAGAGAAAACTAACATTCTCTCTTCCCCCTTTCCTAATGGGGAGATGGAACGGTTAGCTCCACGTGTGAAGTTGTAAAAGAGAAGACAACTCTGTCCACCCTTGGGTCCACCTCCACCTTGTGAAAACATCTGCAAGTGGCTGACACATAACCCTTTCTCTTTTAATTAAGAGTCAAAGATAAAAAACACAGATAAGAAAGTTTCAGACACAATGAATGTATCGCAGGGAAGGACTGTTCCTTTCAGAGAAACCCTCCCTTTAACGAAGAAAGTACATTTTCAAATTAGTCAGATATTAACAGCTTTGAACTAGTATCTCCCTGTTAATAAATAGTCTCCTTACAAAAAAAAAAAAACAAAACAAAACAAAACAAAAAAGACAAAAAAAACCAACCACCAAAACCACAAGAGGAAGTATAAAGGGTAGCTGCCCCAAAACAGCTTGATTATGACAAGCTAAACAACACAACTTCCTTCCAGCTCTATTTGCTCTGCAAGCTTACTTTGAAGCTGAAGTTCAGATGAAAATTCCCCACTTCATTCATCATTGAACAACACCCAGTAAGTCTCTTTGAATGCTAACTGCAAGTGTGAAATGGTTCCTAAAGCACATAACAGTATCCATGTAAATATTTGCAAAATGATGACTTGTTTTATAGATGGTAGATCAGTTAACAGAATACAAAACTATTTTATTTCCCAATATGTACTTTGCTGTGCAATATTCAGTTATCCTAGAGTTTAAAAGGACAGTCTAAAAAGGGTAAATCAAAAGGTAGAAATATTGACAGATTACCTGAATCGGCAGTTGATTTGTTAAATAACAGCCTACAAAATTTGTAAGATCTCCAGCTATCCAACACAGCAGAAAGCCCAAAGACAGCGCTTGATCCACTCTTCCACTCCGATAGGCAACGTAAATTTGACTGGCACAAATTCCAGAATTAATTGTAAAACAGTGTAAGCAAAAGACGATTCATAAGCTCAGAAGTACATTTTTCAAAAATCTGAATAAAGAAAGATTAAAACTCTAGCCACAAGAGACTGATCCCAGCAACACTCCCCTTACCTTTTGAAGAAGAACTCAGTATCACTACAGCTCACCATGTCTTCCTCTAACATAACAAAAGACTCAAATCACAACCTCATTACTGCTTGAATGTGCTCCTTTTTTGTGGCCTGCACAGAAATACCATTTTCTGGTCACTGGAACTACGCTGTAAGCATTTTATATTCATCTGCTGTAAATACCAGCCTTTAAAATACTGAAATAAAAAAAACACTCTCATTTAACATAGAAGGGCTAAGAAATAACAAAGCTGCTAAAAGAGTTGACAACTACACTTTCAACTCTAAATTGGAGAAGTATTATTCAGATTCACAATGGGGACTATGAAGCACTCCCAAACAGGAGTCCATTAGACGTATCTTGATGAATTCCATGCTCACCAACATGACAGTTTTAATGTAAAGCCCCCTTTCAACTAATATTTCTGAAGCTCAACAGCTTACTAAAAGTGGTTTTATTTTGCTTGATTTCCATAGCCCTTTGAGTAGTTCAGTAAATTATATCCCCCTTATGGGGACAGACTTTGGAGTCAATCCCATTTTGTTTCAGGCATTTTCACCTGCTGGGAGCATTTCTACTATTCCTTTGTCATCTCCTACCTACATCTTTGAAACCTGAGCCCAGTGCCAGCGACCAAACAGCAACTGATTTAGCACTACCGAAGCGCTAACTCATGTGCCGCTTCTGACCTCTTCCCGGTCCAAATTTAATTGGCAGGAGCCAGCACAACAGTACTGGTGACATAGCACGTGGTTTAAATAAACACCGCGCCTGCTGCAAGTGTGCCTGCGCGTGCACACGCATCTCAGGGTGGAGAAGATAAGAGAGAAGAGGTGATTTATTCTCATTTGCTCTAAGTGGCAGAGATTAGTGTCAATTCGGTACAACGGAACAGTACATCAAGCTCATTTGTCAACCACCAAATATTTTTGCAAACACGAGCAACATGCTTCTCTGGCATATTGTATCTGCATTACACAGATGGAGAAACGTATCCAAGATAAAATAAATAAATAAAATAAAAGGCAGCTTTTGAAAAAGGCTTCAGGCAAGATTACTCATGTTTGAATCTGAGGACTGCTTAAGACTTTAAACTTACGGTAGTGCAGCAAACAGAAAACAGACAATGGAAATCAGTCCGATGACAACGCTCCAATACTCCCACGCATTCTCGACACATTCTTCTAGGAGATGCCAAATCCATGGTGTTCCATTTATGCACAATCTCCTATTCTCTATTGGGGAGATATTGAAAGCATGTGTATACAGCTGAGAAGCCATCGTTCCTGGACCGAGATTCAATTCAGTTTATTTCTGCCTCCATTTTTACCCCATGCAAATCCGCAAATCCGTTTACCAATGCTGAACATCCTCTGTGAAAAGACCTCTGCATCCAGACGGATGCTTGATATCACAGTTCTTTCCAATCTCATAAACGAACCTGCCAAAGTCAAAGAAATAAATATAGCCAGTGTGAAGAAGACATTAAGCGTACAGTGCTTGCTTATATTTATTGCTTACAGCAGAGAAGTTAGTCTTCCAAGAAAGAAAAATACTTTGTGGTCCATTGCATTCATTAGCTCTTGACAAATATGCAACACTCGAGATTTATATCAATACAGCATTTTAGTCTGAGGTTGTGTTAGACTGAGACTGCCAGTTACACTGCGGTGCCAGCAGTTTGCTACAGGGTAAAGTAAACCAAGTAATTTATTTGCACTTAAGACCAAAACTCGGATTTTTATGTTCAACATTATGCCAATAAAGTAACAGCATTTTCTTTAATGGTACTAACCCAGGTTCCGAACACTCTACTCATACTTACAAAACATAATGTTGCTTTCTATGCAACTAATTTCAGGATAACGTTATGAAAAAGAAGTCACTTGTGACTCAGATTCCAGATAAGCTCTAAGGTCTGCTCGAACCTATCTAGCCCACCACACTAACTAGTCATTCAACACAGGGTCAAACAGTTTGCATTATTCAATGCTTCAGCGGAAAGACAGAAACCATAAGAAACTTGCAGAAAGCAAATGCAGGGTACTCCTGCCCCCCAAATCCCCAGAATGAAACGTAATAGTACAATATGGCTTAAATTTTGAAGCAAGGGAGGGTTGGGTTTGACCTTTAAAAATATTTTACTGTAGCCAATTATAATAATTCTGGATGTTTTTTGCTCCTGCTGAAATATTCATCCTTATTGAAATTTTAATATTTACTTAGAAGGCTAACCACTACAAAATTGAAGAAAACTTTAACAAAAACACAGAATTATCTATTACTATTTATTGAAATTTTATAGTGACAAAATCCAGCTGATATTGTGCTCATTTGGATGATAATTTAAGTCCTCTGAAGGTTAAGAATCCCTCATACAGAGGAATCTAAAATCAATGAGCTATTAAGGAAAAAAGCCAAAGCAAACGCACTGCTTAAAAAAAAACAAAACAAAACAAAACAATAAAATAAAATAAATACTATACTAGTAAGTTCACCTGTTTAGTATTTAAAGACAGATGTAGAACCAGTAACAAGAAAGATGGTGAAAATTTTTAAGACCATTTGGAACATCTCAGACACACAGTGATTTAGAGAAACAGGAAAAAGTAATACTGAGGTGCAAGAGAATCCCTCTAGAAGTGAATAAAGTTATGCAGTGTCTCAGACACCAGTCCCCGAAGGCCTGATGTTCATGGCTGGGATTTTTGATGTTCTTCACACACATGGGGACAGGACTTGGAAGGGCTGACAATATACCCTTTCTGCAACGTAACAGGTTGGAGCCATCCTCATTATGCATCAAACTACTTCCAAATCTTGATAAAGTTTCACAGAGTTTGTTTTCATAGAGCAACAGTCACTGTGAAGTTAGGACTCACTTTGCTAGTCATCGAGAAACTTTCTTTTTCTTTTCCTAAGACTTCAGGTATTCGTGGCATTAAATGCTGGAACAAGTTTTCTGCAGAAACTGGCTGCCTCTCAAGAGAACTGTCATCATTGGACCTAAACCAAGCAAATGATAAAAAAAGAATATGTATTCGTACACTGAGAACTCACCTTAGCCTATTAGACGTATTCAGTTTATTCAGCTTACACTAGTGAAGTTATTAGACTTTGTAGCCATCTCTGAAAATAAATTTTAAAGTTAAAAAAAAAAAAAAAAAAAAAAGTTGTGAGTAATGTTTCAAGTAAGCTTTCCCATTCTGGTACTCTGCAGCCGAGCAGGGTTTTACCAACCACTAAAAAGGGAGAAACATCAAAGCACACATACTACTTAGGAGACAGGTTTTAGGCATGAACTTTCAACCATTCATAAACAGTGTAACAAAAACCTTATACATTTTCTTAAGCTTCATCCCAAAATGCGCATTTCAAGATAAGGGAAATAATTCAGATGTAAAAAAATAAAATAAAAAAGGTTGAACATGGTATTTTAAAACCATGTCTGAAAAATTAGGTTTAACATGGTATTTAAAACCATGCTTGAATATCATAATTGCAGTTTGACTCATGCATGCAAAAATTCTCCCATAAGATCAAGGACTATGTGGCAGCAAGTCTAAACAAGGCAATTCAGACTCAACCACCTGATCTTATGCAATACCCTGCTCCAAAACCCTGCAGCCATTACGGAAAACCAAACAGTTTAAAAAGTGGTAGGAATTAAGACAGGCCACTGACGCTTCCCAGATGAGCGAAGACTTGAGCGTTGGCCTCCTGCCACACAACAACACATTTAAAGCATGTGGATATTCTTGGTTTGCTACAACTTAACATTTATGCAGCAGAATAATGTTCATCTTGCCAGTCCTCGGGACTGTATTTTTAATCTTATAATAATTGCTATTTTTCTTAAATCCCCAGCAAAATACTGTGTCCCAGTAAGAGCCCAATCGCCAAACCCAGCAATTCGACCAGCGGCAAGAACTGGATGTCATCAACTAAACGTATCTGCCACAAAACCTGCCCTCCTCCTGCCATGGCTGGAAAGGCAAAAGGCAATGGTGTCAGTGTCTGAACTCCAGTTATTTTCACCCCTGGACTGGGTGTGCCGTATTAGCATATACCCTTCACCAAATAACTTCTGTCTTCTGACACGGAAGTACTTTATAACTACACATCAAGCTTAAAAGAATAATAGTGTTTGAGCTAGACCAATACAGATGGTTCCCTCCTCCAATATGTAAATTCTTGCATAGAGAATTGAGTTTTCCCTCAACGTGAAAAAAAAAACCAAACAAACCCTTCCACATTTCTTTTGTTGCATTGAATGTTTTCCACCTGAAAAGAGGATAAGGAGACTCCTATGACATTTCTTCCTGTAGTATTTAAGTTGTCAATGATGAGAAAATAAAATAATATTAAATGGTGATTCATCTTCCTATAACAATTCCCTGCCTGTAACCTCATATTCTTTCTCTCATTACTGCCCAAATACTAGTTACTACCATTTGGAAAAGTTACAGTAAAGCTGTTACTTTCACAGAACAGTTAACTTAGAACCTTGACATCATATCTTTCTGAAAAGGTGCAGTGTTTGTCTATCTAGAAATAAAACTGTTATGGTGTAAGATATTCAGTAATAAGGAATCAGTAGCATGAAACTCCTGTTTGGACACTTTTTCTTATTTTAATACCTTATTCTGGAGTAAAAATGTTCACACAGAACTAGTCAATGGTTTAAAAGTGAAAAATCACTAAGAATAGCATCACAGTGAGGATGAGGAAAAGTAAGCTTTTCCTGGAACTTGGGGCACTTGCCACAGATTCTTTGCCTCTCCAGCTGCCAAGCTGCCACGAACATCCACGCGTTGTGGCTGCTGTGTGTTCCGAGATGTCAAATAACGAGACATTGCTAGCAACGTGTAAAGATGTCAGATATGTGTGTTTGGCAGATTTGCACGTTCTCTAAATAGCAGCTAACAACAGCTTGAAATCTAAAAGGATGTTCAGTTGTACAGTCTCCATAATTCAATTACTCTTGGGTGGAAAGGGCTAAAAATAAAAAAAAAAAAAAAAAAGTGGAGCTAAACTAAGGAACAATTCAGGGCTTCTTCAAACACTTCCCAGTATTAACCTGGTCATCGTATTTTGTCTCCTGCTATTTTCTGAACACATTGCTACACGCCCTTGCTTGTTAACGCTGATTCTTCAGAGCTGATGATAAAGCATGACCAAATTTTACCTGGAAACCAAGCCCAGTTCTCACAGAACACTTCCAACTTAGATTGGTAAAAAAAAAAAAAAAAAACCAAAAAAAAAAACAAAACCAAAACCAACCATGAATAAACCCAACAAAACACAAAGAAGCACCTTTCCTCAGGAGAGTCCAGCAGGCACCCCAGCCCTAAAGCCGCCGGGGAGCCCCATCCCTCGGGGGAAGGTGGGTGCAGGAGGCAGCCCCGGGGTGCCCCGGCACGGGTGGCAGCACCGGGGCGCCTGAGGAGAAACGGGCAACGTTCAAGGGGTAACGATGAAGAACGGTTTGAAGGAAGGGCAGCGGCCCCCCGGCTCCCCGCAGACGGGCGCGGCCGGCTGGGCGCGGAGCGGGCTCGGCCCCGGGGGGCGAAGCCACGGACCCGAGCGCGGCGGGCACCGACCTGGCGAAAGCTGCTGCTGCTGCTGCTGCTGCTGCTCCGGGGACCGGCGGCGCCCGCCCGGCGCCGCGCACCTCTCCTCCCCGCCGCCAGCCCCGGAGCGCGGTTTCGCCGCGCTCCCCCTTCCTCCGGTCGCCCACCCGCGGCGGGGAAGGCGTGAGGGGGAGAAGGGCCGGGCCGCCGCCGTCCCTCCCCTTCCCGCGCCGCCGCCATCAGCCGCCGCAGCGGCGGGGCCGGGGCGCCCCCTGCCGGCGGGCGGGCGGGCGGCGCCGGGGCCGCCCCCTCAGGGGAAGGCGGGCGGCGGGGTGTGAGGGCGCCGAGGCTGAGGGCGCCGAGGATGAGGAGGCCGAGGATGAGGAGGCCGAGGCTGAAGCTGAAGCTGAAGGAGGCAGCGGTGCTCTTAGCGTGAAGCTCCGTCGTTTTTCTCCTCCCCGGCGTGCGGAAGGCCCGGGGGAGGGTGAGGAGCTAACGCAGCACGGCCGAAAGCGCGTGAAGCGGGGCTTAGTGCTGGCGAGGCGCAAGCCACGGTGGTATTTTGAAGACCTGGGCGCTTACGGCAGCGGGGGATGTACGTTTTTCACAAAAAAAGAAAAAAAAAAAATAAAAAAGTGGCTTTCGGGGCGGCTTGTTGTGAGAAATGGGGAAGCAATGGAGAAGCAAGGGTTTGCGGGGCCGATGCGACCTTTGCAAGCTCAGCTTCTGCTCTGGGCGCCCGATAAACGCCACAGTGACCTTTCCGCTGCGGTGATAGTGCCCACCGGGCTTGCCGAGCCTTTAAACACCACTTTTTAATCTGAGCGGGAACAACGGCTAGTGATCCGCGATACAAAGAAGTCTTAATGAATAATCCTGGGGATCTTTGTAGGAGACGTACTTTCGGACATGAATATTTTAAAATATTTTGATAGGAAAGAGTGTTGTATAATTTACTGAATTTTTAATATAATTTTACTTTTTATTCTCATACAGGCTGATCATTTCTGCAGCTACTGCAGTCTAGCTAATTAACACAGGGTTGAGAGAATGATTAAAGGAAGGCTCCGGGTATCTGCATTGTTCTAGCTTAATTGCTGCTCAAGCAATGAATCAGTGTTGGTTTTGGCAGTTGAGCAGCATTTGTCTGGCACTGTGTAATTCCCTGTTTTATGTCCATGAGACTCATCTGTCGTTGATGGGCAAAAGCATGCAGATTTGTAAAATTTTTAGTGGCATACAGACTTGTGGAAGAAATAGGTTTTGTTACTTGCCTTACAATCCTAGAATGGGTTGCGTTGGAAGGGGACCTCAAACCCCCCCAGTGCCCCCCCCTGCCCCGGGCAGGGCCCCCTTCCCCCAGCCCAGGGGGCTCCCAGCCCCGTCCAACCTGGCCTTGAACCCTTCCAGGGAGGGGGCAGCCACAGCTGCTCTGGGCACCCTGGGCCAGCGCCTCACCCCCCGCACAGGGAACAATTTCTGCTTTAGATCTCATCTAAATCTGCCCTTTTTTAGTGCAAAACCATCCCCCCTCATCCCATCCCCACCCCCTGACCCAGAGTCCCTCCCCACCTCTCCTGTCCCCCCTTTAAGCCCTGGGAGGCTGCTCGAAGGGCTCCCCGGAGCCTTCTCTTCTCCAGGCTGAACCCCCCCAACTCTCTCAGCCCGGCCCCCCAGGGGAGCTGCTCCAGCCCCCCCAGCATCTCCGTGGGCTCCTCTGGCCCCGCTCGAGCAGCTCCGTGTCCTTCTGCTGTTGGGGGCCCCCGAGCTGGCCCCAGCACTGCAGGGGGGTCTCCCCAGAGCGGAGCAGAGGGGGAGAATCCCCTCCCTGGCCCTGCTGCCCCCCCTGCTCTGGCTGCAGCCCAGGGCACGGGTGGGTTCTGGGCTGCGAGCGCACGGGGCTGCCTCACGGGCAGTTTTCCCCCCCACCAACACCCCCAGTCCCTCTCCTCGGGGCTGCTCTCCAGCCACATCTCGCCCAGCCTGGGTTTGTGCTTGGGATTGCCCCGACCCACGGGCAATGTTTTGGCTGAGATGCTCAGGGGGTGCCTGTTGTTACAGAGCCTGCCAGCTGGAGTCTCCTCACCTGTGCAGGTAGAATTGAGTCCTGTGGCCAGTGCAGGGCAGGAGAAGAGGGGAGCAGGCTGGAAGGAGCCAAGGCTGGAAGGAGCCACCGCGCTGCAGGAGGGGCTGTGCTGGCAGCAGGACTGCAGAGGACTTGCTTCTTACACCTCCTCAGTGCCTAAAGAAGAGCCCTCTCAGTACAAGGAACCCGTGTGGTACCTAACCCCGAAGTGGATGTGAACCCGAAGCATGCAAGGGCAGTAACTGGAGAGACCATGCAGGTGACCGGGGAGGATAAAATAACCTGCAAATGCTCCCCATAACAATTTATGAAGGCGAACAAAATTTGAGCAAATGGGTAATGGAACCTGGAAAGCGTTTGTGCTCTGAGGTCACCGAGAGGCCTCGATGGCCCTGGCCAGCCCCTCCTGGGGCCACCCCCCCACACCTGCCCGAGGCCCCAGTTCAGCTCAAACTGGGTCCCTCGGACCGATGCTGTTAGCAGCTTGGCTCCTGGATGGACCCTTCGTGCAAGAACACCATCGCTCGCGTCCAGCCCTGTTTCCTGGGTGGGCTTCGGCCCTTTGCTGTAGCTTTGTCACCAGCCCTGTCTCTGGCTTTGTCTCTTTTTGCTCCTGGCTGGACTCCCGGGGCGTATTTGGGACTTGGTTCACCACTTGACTCTCCTGGGACCGTTGGTGGCCGGTGTTGCCTGCACCCGGCTCTGCCAGGCCAAGATCTCCCTCTGCTCAGGGCTTCCCTTGCTCTGAGATGCCGAGTAAGGAGGTTTGAGTACTGAGGCCTTATTGTTTAAGTCAAAACCCCACGTCCCATTACATACACGAACATAAGCATGCCGATGATTAGATACAATTTGTTGACCTCAAATGCGTTAATACATTTAAAAATACATAAGGTTAATTGTAAGGAAAGAGGAACAAAGTAGCAGTTTATACATGAAAAAATAATGTAAAGATACCTCCAGAATCCTTCCAGAAACTAGAAAATATTTTCAGAAACAAAGGTTGAAATTCATAGGTTTATCCAGGCCGGTTGCTATCTCTGTTCCTGGAATAAACACAGCTTCTATGTCATGAACTGCATTTTATGACATCCGCTTAAAAAAAAAAGTGAATAAAGAGAGGATAATGTGGTGAAAGACAGCCAATTATTTCATAAATGTAAACTACATTAAAAAGTGGTGTACAACATTATATATTTATGGATACAATTTTGTTCTGCTGTCACATAACAAAATGAATAATACATTAGTCCAAGAACTTGTCATTAAGTGAATTTCTTTGTTGCCTTGCCATTAAAATAAAAAAGTCCTTGGCCTGTGTATATGCATGACATTAAACCCTTTTCGGGGAGCATAATGTAGGGTGGGTGAAGGTACTGTTAGACTGCAAATTGGAAGTAGATTTTAAAATTTTTAAGGTGAAATAATGCTAATGAAATTAGTGAGTTTTGAAGACATTCAGGAAGGCTTTACAGTTTTTTTCTGTTAATGAGATGTGATAAATAGAACTGATATTGGATATTATTTAGACCAGAAAATGTTGCTCTTTTTTACCCTCTCTATTGCCAGAATATTATGCCGGTAATCTGTAGGCAAGAGTTTCTTTGCAAGAATTAATGAGAATGTGGAGTTGGGGAAGATTTATTTAAGCATCAGGAACCTTCCAGGTAAGGCTGACAGTTCTGTTTGATCAGTTTTAACTCTAGAATACCAATTATTTTTCTCTTGTAAGTCACCGTGTATTGCAATACCAGTATCACACTTAGATCTCTCTTGTTGTAATGAGGTTGCGTCCGCTTGTGACAGCCATGACTTTTCTCTGTCGTGCCTGCTTATGTTGCTCTAAAGCCCGATTCTCACAAGTAGTGAATGCAAACATTTGAAAACAACGTGTGGGAAGCCGAACCAGTGTCTACAGAAATTTATGGATACAGAGGGCTTCCAGTGGCTCGCGAGCCAGCGATGTGCCCTTGCAGCACACCGGGCTGCCTTCGGCAGAGCGTCACACGCCGCTGGAGGGAGGGGATCCTGCCCCTCTGCTCAGCACCGGGGAGATGTGTCTGGAGCGCGGGGTCCAGCGCTGGGCTCCTCACTACATGAAAGAGAGGGACATACTGAAGCGAGTCCAGCGAAGAGCCGTGAAGGTGGTGAGGGGGTGGGAGCATCTGCTGTGGAGGGGAGAGGCTGAGAGAGCTGAGACTGCTTAGCCCGGAGGTTCAGGGAGATCTTACCAATCTTATCAATAAATACCTGATGGAGAGGAGCGAAGCAAGACTCCTCTCAGCATCATCCAGTGACGGGACAGAAGGCAGTAGGCACAAGCAGAAATACAGGCAACTCCAGTTAAATGTGAAGAAAAACTCCTTCACTATGGGGCAGGTCAAACACCGGACCAGGCTGGCCGGAGGGACTGTGCACTCTTCGTCCTTGGAGATGTTCACAGCCCAACTGGAGGTGCCCCTGACCAACCTGCTCTGGCTCACCCTGCTTTGAGCAGGGGGTTGGACTAGATGATCACTGGAGGTGCCTTCCAGTCTCAACCATGCTGTGATTCTCTGACTCTCTGAAGTGGAGCGATGAATAATTAAAAAGAACGAGACATACTCATATGATTAAAGTTCATATTGTTCAAGAATCTATTGACTTAAGACATAGTACCTCCTAACAATGTCTCCTAAGTTCATGGTATCTACCTCTAACTTGTATGGGTTTCAATCTTTTTCCATGTCTTTTAATTCTTGTCCTTCCAAGAAGCGAGAGGATCATTGATTTACAGTCTGATGAGGAAGACTGAAGGGGCAATCTTACTTGATGATTGGGAGAAAATTACCTTTATGGTTCAAGTCAGTCAGACTGGATATGGGAATTTCAGGCCCCAGCCTAAATTCTTGTCTCATCCCATGAGTCCTGATAAGGAAAAGAAGAAGGAAACCCTAATACAGTTAGATGATGATATAACTGTTTCGATATTGAGCCTTCCAGGTGTTCTGAGGAGTTCTCCATGTAGAGGTATGTGATGAGTTTGCACCTTTCAAAAGTAAGATTAAACTTACCTGAAATACCATTTATCTCAGAACACATTAATCTGATTTTTTTTTTCTATTTTCTCCTTTTTCTCCCTAATGTAATTGACAGCAAAATTGAATCAGTTTACTACCGAGTTGGACTTG